GTTTCTCATTCAAGTTCGGTTTCTGAACTATGATTGATACCTTTGGAATCACCAGCTACTTCCTCCCCCGCAACCCCCTTACCATTCACGTCCACTGCCTCATCACCTTCAATTTCTATAGTCGTAAGGGTTGAATCAGTGCCATCACGATTGTTATTCCATTCTCTTTTGTATCTTTCACCTAAGTAGACCACAATGTTTGGAGTATATATGTTATACCATTGACGAGCCCGATCTTGGCGTACTTCAAGCCAATCTGGATGAAGAAATGGGATAGCCAGGTCCCTATTGTAGTGGAGGTCGAGTGATATGAAGTGATCGTTATTGATGAATCCCATGACTATCGGTTGATAATATGGGTTGCCTTTGAGTTCCGGGCAGTATTCTGAAAAGCACGGTAGGATCAAGTTGGAAATTGCGAAGGAAGGGCTGTAATATATGACTGGCCGATTATATGTGTTTGCTATGATGTAGCCACCACATGGCATTGGGAACCAATCCTCGCGCTCAGCAGTGGTAGCTGTTGATTTGAGAATTCTTTCAATATGTTTGATGTCGATGTCCACAGCAAACTTTGGCATATTTTCAGCATACCATTTGTAATTGGACTGTAGGTGTTGAGAAAGCATCGATCGGACAGTAGGTGCGTGGGTTGGTGTGAGTCCTAGTGACACTGCGATGGAAGAGAAAGCGCAAAGGCCATCTTTTGGTACATTTGTAGCATTCTTGATGTTCGGAAAGAGAAATCGGGGTATATCCTGCAAAAACGGCCACTTCTGAATAATCGTAAGGTAAGAAGAAGTTCAGTGCCAATCTGTTAAAGATGAATTTATAACAAAATTGTACCTTTAAAACAACACACTCGATCTGACGTGCTTCATCCATCTCTTCTGGAGTGAATGGTATTTGACACTAGTTGACCCAAAATTAATAAAGATGAGAAGTGTGAAGGTTGATATGTATGAGTTGCTTGCGAGCAGACAGAGTACAGACCTTTTTTTTGTCTAAGAACGTCTGGGGCTTTATGGGCTGAGCTTCGCATGTCGGCTGCGGGGTTTTGTCTCGTGGTAATGAAACATCAGCTTTGGCTGCGGTCGTTTCTGCACTTGGACTTGGCATTCCGGCACTTGCTGCAGAGGTCACCTCGGGTTGGTCGGCTGCTGTCTCACTTGGCATTTCCAATTCTTTGCTTGGCTACAAATGAAGTGGTACGTCAGCAAAGATGTTTGTATGGCAAGAAGTGGAGAGACACCTACTTCTTGATTAGCAGGAGCTGCTACTTGGCGGCGCGTAGAGACTTTCGGTTTGCCTTTTCGGCCTCGTCCAACTCGAACGGCTTGGGCGTCCTCTGAGACATTTTGTTCTTCTGCACTTTCTACCTCCTCTGGGAGGACTTCGATGTAACCATAACCCTTTCCCAATTTGGGCAAATCGGGGTTTGTCGTGAGTTTGAATTTGCTAACCTCTGGAATGGGTGCCTTCATTTTGGCTTGGCGAGAGCGAAGATTGCGGATGGGGCCCGGTTTCTCTTCGACTTTGGCTATCTTGCGTTTGCAAGAACGGGGTTTGGGAACCTTGGCTTCGTCGGAAATTGGAAGTACGCCTGCAACCGCCTCATCTTCATTTTTCGAAGGCTTAGCTTGAGGTGCTTCCATAGAATTGAATAATGATCAGATTGTTAGTGAGGCTTGACCGAGCAAGAAATTCAAGATATGAAAAAGAAGTGACTCACAATTCTCATTTCCTCCGGAAACCGCCTCATCTTCTTGTTTCGAAGGCTCATCTTTGGCTTGAGGTGCTTCCATGGAATCGACTTTGAACTCTGGTAGTGGTGAAGAAGCTGCGAGGATCAGATTGCTAGTTAGGCTTGACCAAGCAAGAAATTCAAGAATAAAAAAGAAATGACTCACGATTCTCGTTTACTCCTGAAACTGCCTCATCTTCATTTTTTGAAGGCTCATCTTCGGCTTGAGGTGCTTCCATGGTATCAAGGTTGAACTCAGGTAATGGTGAAGAACCTGTGAGCATCGGATTGTTAGTTAGACTTGACCTAACAGGAGATTCAAGAAATAAAAAATAAATGACTCACGATTCTCGTTTGAAACTGCCTCATCTTCATTTTTTGAAGGCTCATCTTTGGCTTGAGGTGCTTCCATGGTATCAAGGTTGAACTCAGGTAATGGTGAAGAACCTGTGAGCATCGGATGTTTAGTTAGACTTGACCTAACAAGAGATTCAAGAAAGAAAGATAGATACTCACGATTCTCGGTTGAATAATTCTCGTTTACTCTTGAAACCAGATCTTCATTTTTGGAAGGCTCAGCTTCAACTGGAGGAGCTTCCATGGGAAATCAAGGTTGAACTCGGGTAAGGGTGAACAACCTGCAGGAACTAGATTATCAGTTATAGTTGAACAAAGAGATTCAAAATAAGATGTCTCACAATTTTTGTTCGGATTATTTTCAGAATTTGCTGAATCGGGTTTGGGTGATCTATCTGTTTCTGTTGATGGCAACTTGAGAGATTGGATGGCCGAATCGATCACATTTTGATTAACCGACGGAGTAACTTGTAGGTTGGGGATAGAACTAGCTAGTTGTGAGTCGGCTGGCGATGATAGAGTGGGAGGTCTAGGTATGTCGGTCATCAAATTGGTGGAGAGGGCAGTTTGGTCTTCAGCTGCCTCTTCAGCAGAAGTAGACAGAAGCGCTGGATGAGGGGTCCTTTGGGGGTGAATAGGAGGAAGTGTCGTTGAGGTTGCAATACCTTTAGCAAACTCAACATCGCGTAAGAACGAGTTGAGTAGATATGCTTGGTTAGGTGCCGGAAGAGATTTCATCTCTTGAAGTAGCAATCGATATTGGTGGGTTAAGAGTCCTGATGGCAAGTCGGGGATGATAGCCGATGAGATGGTGGGAAGTTGAGGAGAGGGAGCAGGAAACGAAGTCGAGGTGGTGGGTTGAGGTGGAGCCTTAGAAGGTATAAACAGTATTTTCTTCGGTAGTCCTTCTTGGGGGCCATGATTGTGTTGAATATGACCTTCCTTTCCAAAGGTCAGATAAAATGAGTTATGATCCTTCCTATTGCGACGACTGATGATCTTAAAAAGACATGTCTTGAGGGGGCGAGCAGTCGATGTTGATTGTGTTGTTTGCTGAGCAGTTGAGGTTGATTGAGTCGATTGAGTTTGAGCTTCCTTGGCTTGAATCTTCGCCTTTGTCATGTGTCTATGATCACCTAGGCTACACTTGTACTTGATGGAGGTGGGTAGTCTGGTGTCGAGAGTGGTGATTTCAAATCCATGATCGGCGGCAAACTGGTGGAGATAGGTAGCTGCGGCTGCATGATTGGGAAATGTCTGGTCGATTCGAGGAGGTGGTATAGGATCGGGGTATATGGCTTTGTTGTTGTTGGCTGAGCTGGTGGGGGTGGTCATGATGACTGAGAGACAAGTTAGAAGAGGTGGAGTGTGTGCAGGTCGCTGCAGGAAGTATTGAGGTGTGAGTGAGGTGTGAGGTGTGAGGTGTGAGTGAGGTGTGAGGATTGGTGGAAGTGGCGAGTGATCGAGTTTGGTTAATTGGTTGGGGGCTTCTGAGTCGTTGGGGTGGTTTTGGTATGTGTATGAATGTTGTGAAAGGTGGTGAAAGGTGAATCGTGAAACTTGAAGAGATGTGAAGATGGTCGGGTAGATGGGCGAAGTGGCTTTCTTGCTTGAAATTTCTTCGAAGACGGGTGTGAGTGTGACAAGATGTGAAAGAGGCTGTGAGGAGGTGTGAGGAGGTGTGAATGGTAGTTAAGTGACTTTGCATGCGTTTGGGGACTTGTAGCCTGTGAGGTTACGAAAAGATGCATCCTAGCATCTTAGGATGCATCTGCGTGCTTATCTTCGGATCCGCTGCGAGGATACGTCTTATGTTATCCTCGGGTCGGGACCGAGCTTCAAGTGTACACGAGGTGAGGAGACGTTTCCTCAAGGGATTCCCGAAGTGGTGTTTTACAACAACGCCTGTCGACTCACCGAACACATATATCACGGATCAGGCGAGACAGAACGCTTCCAAGGGACAGTGATCCCAGTGGACCCATTCCATCATCGTTCCCACGCCGAAACTGACGAGTTTTGCAAAAAGTTCACAGACCCAAAACTATTTCCAGATATACAGGAAAATGGACAATGGGTATTCAACGCATCTGCGGCGGAACTCACCAATATATGGTACGGAGGTTTTGCGTTGATGTGTCGTAACATGCATTCCCTCCGTTATAATTTCTTTTTGGAAGAGATGGTTGACTTGAGGAATTTGTGGCTCTCCAAAAAATTGAGCAAGCGACCGGGTATGGAGTTCCTTGGTATTGGAATCATTTGAATCATTGATTCAAATCATTTATTATCATTCATAACAATGTCTTCTATACTGTCTGTCCTTATTTTCCGACTCCTCAATTATGTAATCGATTCGAAATGATGGGACAGAAAATGAAATTTATACACGCAACTAATAATTATCATCTCCTCTAAATCTAAATTTTGGCACTTAGGTGGCATGATTGATCCCGAGAAACGTACAGTTCATGGCTCATGAGTTTGGAGAAGAATAATGTGGATATAATTGTATCGATCATGTTAAACATATGGAAATGTGAGGAGGACTTCACATGGTCATGCTGGATACAATTCATATTGCAACTTCACACATTCTTTCAATCAAGTTTACCATCTCGGATATGGGAAACTATTTGTGGAATACTACCACATTATGACGGAGCACCTGGAAAGCCACCACAGTTAAGTCAGTGGATAAGATAAAACTATTGAGAAGAGATGGACACGCACTTGAACAATGAGCCTTTGTGTCGTGATGTCTTTGGAATCAACAGTACCAAGGAAATACATGAAGGAACCCAATGCGATGTTCTTCATTTTGCATAACTCTGGAGAAAAATTGCCAAACCAATAGATGATCTCGAATGTGTTTTTCTTTCTTTCCTGAGTGTCATAATCAATAAGGAATAATAAAGACATTGTTAGTCCACAACCATATCATTGTATTGTCGTTAGAAAGAGCTAGATCATGCCTCACTTCAGGGTTGAAGATGTCATGTTCAGCTTGAACTGTAAGGTGCCAGTCACCGTCTTCATTGAGATTGTCAATATTCACCTTAACGACCTTGCCGATCCCACTGATCATGGCTTTTCCAGCAAGATGTTGAGGTTGAGGAGGCACAGTGACCACCAGACTTTGGGTGATGCTGCTATGTTTGACAAAATATTCGCCTGTAATGGTGTTTTGACCCAAACCGCCATGGATGTTGTAGGTCCAATGCCGGGTGAGTACCTCACTCGCCAAGCTAAATCCATAGGCTTTAAGCGGGCTGGTAACGTGCTGCCCTTGCTCATCTTTTAAGATGAGGTTGGTGTTGGTCTTGTGCCAAGCTACGGCATCTGGTATTGTTTGGGGGCGCAAGATCGTCGTCTGTGTAGATGAAGAACATGAAGGTAGAATGAGGCTTTCAACATTTAATTACATAAATCTAGGGAGGCAGAGTGAAAGGGCTGGTACTTCACTGGTGGTATTTAGGATGGTGTTGATTGAAGCGGCCATGTCAGGTTCAGAGGCCATGATGATGGATGGGCAAACAACCAAATACCAATTGGTTGTTGGTTTATATATTCCACACAATGCAATAACATGTTTGCTGTTGTCTGCGCTTTGGTTCCCTAAACAAAACGAAGGGAGGTAGGTGATGGGTTCTCAGGGTCCAAGCCTAAGATTCATATAGTCACAAAGCCCAGGGTCCGATGTTCACCACAGAAGATAATATCACGGTTTGTATTGCGTACGCCGCCGAAACAAAGGATGGATTCATTGAGGGTGAGCCTCTAACAAAAATCAATTATCACAACGAGAGAGAGAAATAAAATGAAGTCTAAATAAAACGCATGACAAATGCGACCATTGCCACATTCGCAATCGCCCCTGAATTTGTCCCTGGATATAATCAGATTTTCAGATGTGGGCGACCCTTTTGAACTCCTCCTTGAAGCGAATCCGTGCTTCACCCACATTAGCACGCGGAAACTTGATGTATTCATTCAAGAAGATCTTGTAATCTACTTCATCAATCCATTGTATATACCTGTACATAGTGGAAGTCCCCAGGCGCCATTCAGAACCAAAGGCTTTCATCCATGCCTGCTGCGGAGAGCAAGTTTCACAATTCTTGTACCACGCGAGAAGGTCTGAAACCAGTACAAAAGAAGACGGCCACCCTCTCTTCTTGATATGGGTATTGGTACTTGACTCGACTTTGTTTGTATTTGTCTGAACTTGGGTTGAATTGTTGCCATTGGTTGTAGCTGTCAAGACGGGTGATGGAGTTGGCGATTTCCCTGGCTGTTAAAAGGTAGTTAAACCAAAAACGTCAGTACAGTGGTTAAGTTTTACCTTGTTGTGAAATCACCTACTGGACTAAATTTGGGATCGGAACTGACTTTCGGATCAGAACTGGTATTAATTGCTTGGGCCTTGGCTGTTGAGGTTTTGATGAAAAGGTCCAAATCGGGTAGCTCATCATCAAAATCCTCGCGACGTTGGGGTTGGGCGTTGGGAGTCGGGGGGTTCTGCACAAAAACTTCATCATTCTCATCATCAGTGGCATTGGTCAAGCCTTTCTGCTTTGCATTGAGTTTGTCTAGCTGCTTGGTTTGTTGACTGTGAAGGGCGTGGGTGGTGTTTTTGGGCCCGTTAACCACAATCACATCAGGGTCAGAATCGAAAGGACTGGCGTCGACTGAAACACTGGAACTGGCGACGGGTGGGTCTGCTCGAGGATCTTGGAGTTTTGGTTGAAGCGCCTTGGACTTCGACAAGGGCAAGCCAGGGGTCCGGGGATCTACTTGTGGCGACCTAACCACAATCTCCTGCTTGTTTACTGAGTATCTGTGAGGGATCGTGACCATCGTTTCATGCTGTCATAGATATATGATAAGCTTCACTTATCCTTGCAACATCAGATTGATATCTTACCCAAGTGTCGATCTTGTCATCCCAAAAAAGAAGAGCCCGGTTCCATGTAGGTCCAAAATGCTTGGTACAGGCTTGCATCAGCAGCAGAGATTCGTCCAGCCTGGCTTTAGGCCATTGGTCCATATGAGCTGATATAACTTTCGGTTCGACTGCCTAGATTCCTTGTGTGTTGTGGTCAGTGAGCGCGTGAGGATGATGAGTTCTGATGCAAAGAAAAATCTACACACATCAAGCCACAGGTAAATAGTTACCACTTTACGTTCGTCAAATTTGTTGGCTATGGCCCGTTCCTGAGCTTTGTATCGCTCACGGCGGTCAATTTGGATGGCTGATATCGCTTGGAAATCTAGGCGGTGTCCAAGCGTGTTAGCTGCTTGCGCCCACTGATGGACATGAGGAGCTGGCCTTCGTGCAGGCGCAGCTTGTGGAGCTGAAGACCCCGGAGTAGGGAGATGAGCTGCAGTTGCAGTGGAGGGCAAAACAGGGTTGACGATCGCGCCGGCATTTGGCTGGGCCCCCGGCCTCTGTTCAACGGGTGTGCTTGGAACACCCCCCTAAACCGTACTGAAGACAACACTGCAGAAGCAACCACAGGTCAGTTGTTGTATTATATCATATTTCCCGAAACTTACCGCCTGGCAGTACTGATGAGGACAGCCTTTGTTCCCATTGGTCCGGTGGCCACGTGCAACTGGACCGCGTGAAGCGCGCTGGCATGGGTAAACTACTTTGGCACGTTGAGGACCAACTTGTGAGGCTACTTGGTTTGATTTGATCGGGGTGAATTGCTGCTCAATTCGACCTAAGAAGGGATGAGGAGCACCAGCCGGTGCTCCTCGAGGTGGTGCTAATGCTCCGTTGTCAGCATTAGCGGGTTTGGGAGGAAGCAGCACCCCGGAAGGTTATATACGGGGTCCCCAGTCATCAGCAGTCGAAATGATCGGTCTAGAAGCGCCAGCGTTGATCAAGGCGCGCTCGTGGTTGAGTTGGTCACAACGCCAATCGTGGGCACTAAGATAAAACATAATGTCATTCGTTAATCAGGATGGTTGTGTCCTTTTGAAAGGACATAAAATAACTGACATAGATCCGCCAAGCATCTTTGAGTGCAGCTTGGTAACAGAGGGGTGTTTGGCATTCGGGGCACAGAATGCCAACGAGTTTCTTCAGCCCAGGCTCCGGTAGGTATCCTTTGGTGATGAATTGGTAGTGTTCGTGCACAAGCGTGGCTACGACCATGATCGAGGTGGATCGTGATCGATTGTTTGCTCGGAATTGACAGTTTGGAAAGGGATTCCAGTAAGTGACGGAATTTTGGGTACGTTGAGATCATGTTGTGTTGTGGGTGATGATGAAAATTTTTTAGTGTCACAGCTTCCCTTTTGGGTGTGATGAAACTCGGTAATGGCAAAGACGATATACGGTTGAAATCAATGAGTTTGATAATATAATAAGAGGATGAGGGGATCAGTTGGCCCAAAAGTGGACGCTGAGTTGTGGGTGTGATAGGCGGGTGACATGGGCGGACAGAGAACTAATTCAAGTTTTGGACTTTTGTAACGCAGACTGTAGCATGCTTATATGTATGCTTATGATGGGAATACATTATTCCCAGATTCCCACAATTTTCCCAGTCCCAGATTCCCAGGACGGAAACCCGGATCCTCTGGTGCTCCCAGTTCAGAGTCCAGACTCCAGACTCCAGACCCAAATGTGCCGCGCAGTGCTGCCGTAGCAAGCTGTGAAACCTCACTTCCACCACCAAACGTTTGATACCCCACCACATCCTCTTGCCAAGAGATTCATGACTAATCAGCAAAAGATTGTTTTGAAATAGGTCGGCAGAGTTGTCAAGAAACTTGGCATCTGGAAGAAACTTTTTGGAAACTTCTGGCCATGTTTTGGTGGGTATTTCATTTGTGATTATCAAAAGACTTCATGCTTGCTTTTAGCTGAAGAATGCTCCAAAAGCATTATGGCTTTCAAGGCTTCGATTGCAAGATTTTTCCCTCATGTCGTGTCTGCCGGTGTAGATGAACCATCAAAAAACTGATAGTATGATGTTGTAGGAATTGATCACCATCTCGGATATAACTCTCTAAGATTCAAATTAGTTTACCTCCTCTTGTGTTTTCTGATGCCCCTAATAAAGCGGAACACATTCTTAATCTTGAAATGCGTTGAACTGGGTCAAAATGTGAAATCGGTGAGGATAGGATATGAGGTCGGGAAGCGGATGTGGTGGGGAATCAAACGGTTGGGTTGTCCAGGTTTGTTCCCCAATGTAAAGGAAGGAGATAGTCACAGTTTTCCTCATGTGACAAGGATCCAGCATTGAATGTCAGGTAATTCATCAAGCTTCCCAAAACAGGAGATAAGTGGAATTGAAGCAGAAAGCCTGAGTCAGTAATTAAATGACACCAAACTCACACAAACTCAAGACTTTTGCAGGAGGCTTCCCTGCAATCCATATATAGCTTTGCCTACCCAAGATACTTATCTATAAAGAAGAAAAAAGTGTGGTGATCCAGTCTTCAGAATGTACACCTCCCCATGTCTAGGATACGTAATCTGTAAACTGCACCGGTCCCACACCCTGGTACCATACTCCTTTCCTCACAGTATAAGAGATGGCCCAATCCAGAGCAGGGGTTTACTGATTACATTGCCACTTTGAGGGTGTTGTACACTGTCTTTTACCCAAGGGAATCAATTCCCTCATGCCCCCAAAAGGTCCTAAGAATTTTCTCATGCCAGAAAAATTCACAGGTAACTTTGTCTTGAGTCCGATTTTACTGCTGACACCCAATAGCAATGTTCAAACCAAACCCGGTTGACACAAAAACCCGGTACACCCAGTTGTGTTTTTGGTGATAACTTTCTGTATCTAATGACAGCTCTTGACAGCGTCCAGCCAAAAAGTCAACCAGGTGTACCGGGTTTTTGTGCAACTGGGTCTGGTTTGAACACGGCTAATGTTCAAGTCATATTTTTGGCAGGAGGTGATCAGCCAAAAATTATTGGAACACAAGCGCAAGATATTCCCATGCACATTTTCTTTTTGTCCCAAGTAGTTTTTGGTAGGGAATCATGTAGAGGTATCTCAAGAATAGCTTGCAAAAGTCTCAGTGCTGAGCAATGAGTTTGGGTAAGCATGCTGTACATCCTTTGCTGGCCCTGGCCATCTGCAGCAGAATCTGACTTGGGGAATGAGTCTAGAGAGCAGTAGTGTCTACTCTATTCTTTCATTTCTGTCACATATCAGGCCTTTGTCAGACTTGAGCAGTCTAGCATCCCTCCAACACCACCGCGCTTTGCTATAAATGAGATTTTCAAGGGCGGAGCAATTCGGCGCTATGGGTAAGTATGATACCGCTCCGCTATAATTTTTGAGCCACTATGACACTTTAGAGCAGTGCAACTTCTGACTCCGCTCCGCTTTGCTATGGTCAAAAATTGGTCGGGAGAGCAGCAAAAAAGCGTGAAAAAACAAATTTTTAGGCCGACAATTACTTTATCATTGAAGGCACAGGAGTGGGGATGGGTAAGTAGAACGGACAAGGAATGAAAAAAGCGCACAATTGTTTGAAAGAAAAATAATAAGACTCATAAAGAGTAAGAAAGAGAAAACAAGAAACTAATAAACTAATAAAAATAAAACACTAGTCTCATCAAGAGAGAGATCAATCAAAGAAAAGATAAAAAGAAAAACACCAGGCACAAAAAACACATAAAACGCTCATCAAAAGAGAGAGATAGAAACAGAATCAAAGGACACACACATTTTTTCTTGAATTTTTTGAGTCAATTTTTTAGATAGGATAATTGAAAAGAAATAGATAGAAAGAGATATAGAAAAAAACTACTTGGGCTTCTTAGCTTTGGTATTAGAACCTTCATAAGCTCAAACATAAGCTATAGCCTCTGCAAATTTACCAGACAAATTGACATTTGACTTTAACCACTTGCGTGCACCTACAAGCTTCTGTATCATTTTGCCTGTTAAGGAAGCTCGTCCAGGCACAGCAATGTCTGCAGCCGAAGAAAAAGTCCTCTCACAAGGAGCAGACGTGGCAGACAATCCAAGATAATCACGAGCCATCAAGGCAAGGACAGGGAAGTCCTTCTCGTGCTCCTGCAAACAAAAAAAGCAAACAGATCAGTTATCAAACAAATTGCTTATGTGAACTCAAGTTAGTCCTGACCTTCCACCAACTAAGCTCATCTTGACCTGCTAGCATCAACTGACCACCTTCAATATAAGTAACGTGTTCTTCTTGGCGCTTATTGGCAGGTGACTGAGAAGCAATGTCGGTTGTAAACACATCAAATTAATCAAACATGGAGACAGGGGAATTGGAAGAGGTAGGGGTGGCGGTTCCTTCAAGGTGCTCTGAAGCCACAGGGTTGTTGGGCCATCTTGCAAGGGCTTCTTCAAAAGCACGTGAAAAGATTGACTTGGCTTGGGCAGCGTCATCGGGGTAATTAAGATCAAAGAAACGAGTGCAATAACAAGGATTGAGGATGGTGGCCAGGACAACTGCCTCTGCTTGGTATCCTTCAAGTTTGGCGATGATGACGTTGAGCATGTGCTTGAGGTCTTGATCAAAATTCGATACCTAGAGCCAATCGAGCTCAAGGATAAGCCTTGAGTATTCGGCAAGTGAAGTGTGAAACACGACCAGTGGTTTCATCACCTTCCATTTGTTTGGTTGCATGCAAAAAGACCTGACAGGAAGAAAGGTCATTAATATAATGAAAGCAAAAACAAAAGAAAACAAAAAAGAAAAACCCTAACGTACCTCTAGGATTTTAACTAGGGTCTTGATTGACTCCCACTCATCTTCACTGATATGTAAGCCTTGATAGTAACAGGTTTTTCGATTGCTGAGAAGGATGGCATCTACCACCTACAAATTAAATCATTGGAAAGGAATCATTAAACAAAGATGAATAAGAAGTGAGGATAGAAGTGATTGTACTTACATCACATGCATCTTTCAAGCGTTTAAGGTAGTCAAGATCAATATTCCAACATACTCCCAAGCTGGAGATTGGTTGGCGTCCTTTGTAATCCAGTTGATCGGCCTTGGCCAAAAATTCTTGACGTCTAGCCGAGCTTTGAGTACATAGACCATTGAATTTCTTGGCCTAAATGCGAATGAAAATGCAAAAGAATCATGTCAGTATTTTTTTCTTATCATTGAGAAGGAAAGAAAAAGAACAACTTACTTTATGTACCGCCCGAGCCACATTGGAAGTAGGACCAGATTGATCATCGTCAGAGTCACAGTCAGAAGCGTTGTGATCTGGGGAATGGGTTGACTCGTTGTTGGACTCATCATTGAGCTCATTGTTGGTTGAGTCAATTTGCAACTCTTCATCACCCTTGTTCAGGGTCATAGCAGGTGTAGGTAAGGTCACTCCAGGAGACGTTGTGGGTTTGACATGCCCAGCCCGCATACCTAAAGCCTTCAACCCAGCCTTGACTACAAGTCCAATTTTATGAGTGTAACACTTAACTTAATTGACTTCAGAGTGCCAGAAGACTGGGTCGTCAGCCTTGCTGAACATGATTTGGAGTTCGGTTGCCATGGTTGCATTCGAGCTTCCTGAGTCAGTTGTCTGAGCCAGCATGTGAATGTGACAAAAGAATCATATTAGGACATATGAATAAACAAAGTAAAGATGAAAAAGAAAAAAAAAGAAATGACTTATCTTATGATGCAATCCATTTGCAATAAGAAATCAATCAACTGGCTGAGCTAAAAGCCGGCCAGCATGGTGCCAAGTCACTAAGTTGAGGGTAAGATGAAGCAATTGGAACTGCCAATTGTTGTCAATGTAGGTGGCGGACACTCCAATGAAGGCTTTACGACAACCCTTGGTGGTCCAAACATCGTAAATGAGACTAAATTTACCTTGATTTGACTGCAATCCAGCAAAGATACAAATTAGATCATGTCGACCAAATAAAAAACTATAGAAAAAACTAACCTTGAGCTGTTCAATTACAGCGGAAGAAAGCTCAGTATATATACCTTTGGAAACCTGAGAGGCCCAGGTTGTGCCTTGCAAGTTTGCAGACCAATTCAACAAC